GTCCTACTTAAAATGATTAAAATGTATTGTATATTATGTAATTTAAATTTAATGTAATACCTGTTTCTTAATTTTTTGTAATAATATGTAAGCGCAATTATTTATTTATGTTCTAGTCAATGAATTTTTATCATACATTATTTATATTATTTTCAGTATCCCTTTTGATTGTGGGTTAAATCTTTCTATTATATTCCAATTGATTGTTTAATTTATTTTGTTCTATTTGGCGATAGTGTATATTATTTATTATATTTTGAAGACTGTTCTTCAAGGTGGCCCCTATGTTTAGTATACGATTATCGTTTGTGATAATGGTGGGATCGGTTAGTTGCTCTTTATACGCTGCGCCGGTAACATTGCCGGACCGATTCGCGACGTAATAATTGTTACTATAAATAATTTTTCATTATAATAAAATAAAATCTAGAAATACAGTCCACTCTTTTTTATTATTTAAATAACGAGTTGCTCAAACAATATGGAATGAGTACTTATATTGCTTCTTCAGCCAAACTAGGATATTAATTTTGAACGAATATCCAACATTTTCCTACGTTTTTGTAACTTTTAAAATAATCGCGTAATCCCATATCTGAACTCAATTCAATCAGTTTCTCTTTATTTATTAATGACAATATATTTTGATCTGATTGTACGAACGGGTTTATAACCAAATTATAATTTTTACGGATGTCTTTATTGGGGTCGAAATATTTGGAAAATTTCTCTTTTAATTTGCATAAGTGTTATTTAATTATTATACACATTTCATTTTTTGTCAATATATTTTCCTGAATCATATTAAAAAAATTCAGAAACATCAAATATCTCGTTATTAACTCGATTTGTCCAAAATATAATTTTTTTAATAAATGCTTCAATTTTGTTGTACAATATAAAAAGATTAGTTTGTGGCCCTTGCATACTTAAATTTAAATAATTTAGAATTGAAAATATATCGGAAAAATATATAAGTTTTGTTAACCATACATTTTTTTCGAAATAATTACTAAGTGGTGATTTTTTGTCTCTGAAAAATATTTCTACTTCAGTTTTCAGTTCAAACAACCGGGCCAAAACTTTTCCTCTTGACAACCATCGAACATGAATGTGTAATACCAAATTTTTAAAACCTTAACCCATTTCTTCACACGTTACTTTGTTAATGCGAGTGTTTACGGCACTAGCTCGAATAAAATATACAATTTTTGTAGATATATTTAGGACATCAAATAGGTTATCGTTCTTATCTTTAGCAGCCAGTTGCTAACGATGAATGAAACAGTGAGTTGATATAATGTTTTTATGAGAAATTTTTTGAACACGTATGACAAAACCATTGAATTTCCCGGTTATAGCAGCAGCTCCGTCAATATAATTAGAAAATTGTAAATTAATTTTTTGGAAATAAAATGAAATAGTATTGAAAATTTCTTCAGAAGTACAGTTTTCAAATATAATCTGCAAAAAAAATCTTCTTGTATATCTTTTAAATCGCTATCTTCGTATCTCACATACATTAATAATAATGCTTCATTATTTATATCAGTAGATTCGTTAAGATATATTGCGTAAAATATAGATTTTTTAATTTTTTCAATAAGCTGATTTTTAATATCATTAGACATAATATTTATCCTCCTACTTATTGTATCATTAGACATAGATATTTTTTTATCTTAGTAACGTGTTCATTACTATATAATTCTGTACAAATATCAATCATACACGGTTTTAACAATTTTTCCCCAATCCAATGCGGTTTTTTAATTTAGCTATGTGTAGGGTTGCCAAATAAGAAAATGTTTGAATAATTTTGTCCTCAGTAATATACGTGTTTATCCTTTTTTTATTTTTTTTTCGAATTCTTCAAATTTTCTTAAAAAAAATCCCTCGTTTTATTTTTGTACTGAGCATGGTTTGTTTCAAGGTGTCTAATGAGCTTACTTGGTTTCGGTAATTCATTTGCCAATGTCATATTACAAATAAATAACACATTGAGGAACATCAGTTCCATTTCCGTTAAAGTATGTAAAACCATATTGAATATAACTATCATTATATTTTAATATTTTTACCTTTTGAGAGGTGTTTCATTAATTTTGTTGGTAGTTTCCAAATTATGTTTATTCGACTTTTGATCAGATGAAGTCGATTTATTTGGCGGTCGTTTGAAAAAAATTGTCATTTGTGACTGTTTACTCATATTATTAATATTTTATATTAATTTATGAATTCAAATTTAAAAAAGGTACAAACAAGTGAAAACTAATGTTGAAGTGTGTATTACATGCGTATATCTAACTTTAAAACGGAGATGTGAACAATGAACAGCGATCGATATGATTGACGAAATCAAATAAATTATCATTTTATCAACCTATTTTTTACACGCTTATATTAGTTTCACCTGTATGTATGTAACTCTCCAAACGCCACGCGTTATCGCATATTCCGTCATCTAGACTAGACTGTTATAACGCATTCACCCCACCCCACGCCAAGATCATCACACGCCGGCAATACTATTCCTGTATAAATTTATTTTTGGTTATCGTACTCGTATACACGTGCGTGTCATCAATATTATATATATAAACAAATTTTTATTTTGACTGACCATTATCATCCGCGTGCATAGGGCTTACGTATATATTCCTACCGCCGATTATACCTCAGGTATAACGTTAGTCCGACCCGCCCGCCCACAAAACACGACTGTACCTAATGCATGATACGTTTACGTACTTAAGTCGCTTTACATGTATACAGGGTGTTCAGTAAGTCAGGAAACGGGTTTCTATATATTCTATATATATATATTCTAATTACTATTAAATATATATATTAACACACATTATTCTTATTTAGAGATATAGAACTCATTCATTCCGATTACAAAGGATGAATCCAGTATCGTCATTTTTCGTCACTACCATCATGTTCCGGGAGTGGGTAATTTACGCGCCTGCTGCTTTCCTTGGATGTGGTAGCCGTTTCTCTGATTCTCTCTCCGGAATCGAACTCTGATTTCCCGTTACTCGTAACAACCAAGATATTGATAGTAACTACTATCATAACATAAAACTAAAAAGTGAAAAATAAATATAGTTTAAAAGCGTGTTTTTTTAGTTTTTTTAAACTATATTTATTATATTTATCGATAGTAAACGGCTTAACAATAAGACCTGTTGTTAATAGTGGTTTTCCGTTTTAAACTTCTTATACACAATAATATAATATGTTATGTTTTGATATATTATTCTCGTATGATTTAGTATTGTAATATTTATTGATTTAATTATTTGAGATTTGTAATTTTTTATAATAATTTAAATCATATGATAGTGACCCTCAATAACTAGTTCGCGAACCCCAGGTTGAGAAACATTTTTCTAAACTATATTACACAATATAATTACATAATACCGTTACAATGATTGTACAAGTTCAAATAACATTAATGGCTACTTAGAAATCGTTACATCGTAATAATAAAAATATAGTTTAAAAAAACTAAAAAAATACGCTTTTAAAGCACATTGAACTAAAAAGTTAAAAATAATTTTTAGAATAATTATAAACAAAAAATACTAGTATTATTGTGATAAATGCGTCGGGCGCTCAATATACGTAAAATATGGCACAAATACCCACGCTTTTATCACAATAATACTAGTATTTTTTATTCATAATTATTTTAAGCTTATTTTAAAAATTATTTTTAACTTTTTAGTTCGATGTGTTATAAAAGCTTGTTTTTTTAGTTTTTTTAAACTATATTTATTTTTCACTTTTTAGTTTTATGTTATGATAGTAGTTACTATCAATATCTTGGTTGTTACGAGTAACGGGAAAACAGAGTTCGATTCCGGAGAGAGAATCAGAGAAACGGCTACCACATCCAAGGAAAGCAGCAGGCACGTAAATTACCCACTCCCGGAACATGGTGGTAGTGTCGAAAAATGACGATACTGGATTCATCCTTAATATTAATAATATTTATTTTATCATAATAATTTCAAATATTTTAGATTAAGACATAGGATTAAGTGCGGGTGGTTGAAGTGGAGAGAAGCGTCTGGCGTCTTATGCGATCCAAAGAGGTTGAAAGGTAAATTCTACAAGACTGTAATAAGGCCAGCTATGATGTATGATTCAGAGTGTTGGGCGGTTGATAAGAAAGTAGAGCAGAGAATGAGTGTAGCAGAGATGAGAATGCTTAAATGGATGAGTGGAGTGACTAAAAAAGATAGAATAAGGAACGAGCATATAAGAGGGAATATAGGTGTAGCGTCAATCGTGGATAAGATGAGAGATAAGACTTAGATGGTTTGGTCATGTTATGAGGAGAAAACAATCGGAAGCTGTAAGAACAGTTATAGAAATGAATGTTGAAGGAAGAAGAGGTAGAGGAAGATCAAAAAAGAGATTTAGGGATGCTATTGAATGCGATTTGAGGACAGCTGGATGTGAGCGTAGATGATGTGGGAGATCGTGTCAAGTGGAACTTTAGGATAAGGGTGGCCGACTCCAAGTAGTTGGGATTAAGGCGAGGAAGAAGAAGAAGAATTTCAAATATTTTAGATAGGTTGAATTAAATAGAAATAGGATGGCAATTTTAAACATTTGAAAGTTTTCTAGATTTAAGAGTAGCTGATAAGTGTAGCTGATAAAGATTAACTAGTGCACTAAGTTTAAGAGAAAAATGGAAAACGCTGTGATTGAGAGATTTAGAGAGAGTTTAAGAGCAATTACATTTTTCAGTTTAATTAAAAAACTACCTTAAATCTTATCAGGGCCAATGTAACGGAATTTTGAAAGGAGTCTAAATCAGTAACATAATTAACAAAAGATTAAACACAAGAGGGCAATATAAGAACAAATAATGTTGTTTAAGAAGGAAGGGAAAGAAGTAGAGAGATAGTTCACAGAGGAGAAATATATTGATAATCAGTAAGCTGTATATTAGTTATTAATGTATTGAAAATCTTTACCTTATGAATATGGAAAACCATAGTTGGTGGATTTCCATCAAACTGATAATGCATTTCTTGATTAATTCGTTCAGTTACAGAAGCTAACCACATTTCAAAACTGATCTCTGGATTTGGATTAATACATTTTTTTTGTTCCGGACCTGTAAATAATGATAATAAAATTTAGTCTGTCAAGTAAATTGACAGTCATTTGAAAACTATTTAATTGTATAATAGAATATTGATTCTTACTGTAGAAATTATATTATTAGAATTTATATATAACGTCCTTCCAACTAGGAAACAAAATGTTCACATTAAAAAGTATAGGAAATTCTATACAGCTTGACATGCTATATGGGGTTGTTTAAAAATATATATTGCAACACCATGTTTATTTTTATTTAGAGTGAGTTTATTTAGTTTTTAAATGTAACAATATTTTAATACTAAAAAGACACAAAATAGGGGTGAACAAAATTACATGAATTGCATAATCGGCAACACGTGCAGCGCATTTAAGTCACAGGTGAACTAGTTTACATACTCGCCGACTTGTCTTTTGATTCTGAACCCTCTGATTTGTCCTATCTACCGACCACTAGATAAGATGAACAGGGTTATCGTTAATACTAAAGAATGTGACTGTGAATGGCTATTACAGGCCGTGTCAACTCTCCCTCACTAAGCTGTAAAACTGGTGACTAAGTCACTCAGTCAGTTAAATAGCTATATGATAATATAAAAAAATATATACAATTTTTAATTAAAATAATTAAAGAGTTATTGACCGTATCAAAATCATTCATTATATCCGTATAAATTGCATCTACATGATTACCAGAGTATACTATTTCTAGAGTATGAACATTAAATTTTTTATAATTTATTTAGATAATCAAATTTTGTGCTGAGACCTCTTAAAACATTTTCAAAGATAATAGACATATTATAGTTTGACATTTTATGGCTATGGTTCAATCATATTTTCTAATAGCATTGGTAAAACGCTTTGTTAAGAAACTGGACGATAGTAACTAGACAAAGTCGCATTTAAAAATTGAGAAGCCATAGCTTATTTTCCATTAAAATTGAAAAACTTTCGTTGACAATGATAATGAAAAAAATAATATATAGTATTATAAAAAATATATATTAGCTTTTAAATTATTCAATATTCTTTAATATATGATAGTTTATGCAAAAAAGAAACTATTCAGTAACAAAAATATGTGAAAATGTCCATCACCAATTATTATACTAAAAAAATAAACTTACTTTTAATTCTTTTTATTTTTAATTTATTTTGTCCTTTTTTATATTGTTTCTATAAAAAAAAAAAAATCATTTTATACATACACATTAACAACATTGAAATAAATTAATATTTTAACAAGTCACAGAATAAAATATTTGATATTGGATTAAATTTTATCTAATAAACTTTAAAAAAGATAAGTTTACAAAAAAAATTTAAGTTTTAACTATTTAGTGCACCTTAGTTAATTATAACTCTAAAAGGGAACTATATGAACCGATGAGATTATAGTTATATCTTTTTAAGGGGTTTTGTAATTATATTAAATATCCCCTTATTACTTCATATTTACTGTGTGTCTTATACATATTGAACTGAGAATTTTTATATACAGACACAAAAATAAACAGATCATAGTAAAATAAAAGCTTAGTTAGTTTTGCATTAAAGTTAAAAATGGGTTTTTAGAGAAGACAGGAATTCAATTACTTATTTAAGTTAAACCAAAAAAACTTTTAACTAAATTAATCACTTTTGCTACGATATTCGATATTGATGTTTGATGGTGTTTAGAAGTAAGATTTTCTAAAGAGCAAGCTTCTCCTGATATTATTATCGGGTCATCAAAAAATGTTACTGGTCCGTTGCTTTCTTCAACCATGGCAACTTGTACATCTATTTAAACAATACAACTTTCATAATAAAAATATAATAGGGTCAATCCATATTTAATCTATAATTAAATTAAATAAAAGAAAAAAAATTTTTTTTAACGATCCTCTATACTTTTATGGGTTCCATATAGGAAGAAAGTAAAATAATCGCCTTTATTTCGAATTCAAATTGCTCATCCAATTTTAATGATATCAATTTAAATTTTATGGTAAAGTCTATTTATAATTCAAAGTTTATGATGAATAAAAAAATTCATTTAATTTTAGTTCATATTTTTTTTGCTTTAAAAAGTTGGACTGAACCTTAGATATATAATGGTGTTTTTTAAGTTTAATAATCTTATCAATTATCGTTTCAATAAATTCATCAACAGATTGAATATTTGTCACTAAATCTGCTCGATCAGTATTCCATTGATTTAAGCAACTTCATTGCTTAAAGTACGACCTAATTTTTTAGGATTGTCAGGAAGTATTCCATACTTGCTAACTAAATCTCTAGATAATCTAACCAAATATTCTGACGTATTAAATTCTTTAGATATTTTTTTTTCGACCAAGATGGAGTTAATAAGCTTAAAATCTTAATTTTTTGGTCAGAAGTATACAAAATAAACTTTACTTTTAATTTTTCAATTAGCATTTCATATTATGATGTTTTATTCATAAGAACATTCAAGAATACAATTTTCTAGATTACGTTTCAAACCTAATGAAACATACTCAACTTTTTTTTGTACAGCTAAATACCTTTTTTGGGGGTTAAGTTTTTTAATTTTTGAAACAGGAGATAAATCAAAAGTTTTAAAAATCGTGTCAATCCTTTCCATTTGGGATTCTTTACAGTCGACAGTGTCATCAGTACTATTCATAAGTATCCTCCATTAAACGAAAATCTTTACATACATTATTTACATTTTTAAAACAAGAAGGGAACAATGATTTTCCTGGAGTTAATTCAATATCAAAGCTTTTTACTTTATCTTTTAGTTCAATATTAATTTCACTCAAACCTTTTTTTATAATAATTTTGTGGGATTTAAAAGGATCTCAACATGTTTTACCAAATAAATTATTATACTTGTATAAATATTTTATTTTATGGTACTCACAAATAGAATCAATTTCTGTTTTTATTCTTAAATTTAATAATAATTTTTCTTTTCCGTTCAAATCATTTGGATTTATTAAAACATTGGAAACTAACCCGTAGGTGGATTTATGGAATTCTTCACTCACGTAATGACCAATGGAACAATTCATTTTTATTTTAATTTAAATAACTTAAATTTAAAAATAAAACAACTAAATGATGAATTTTCAATGAACTCAACACACTTAAATAAATTACAAAACACACATTAAACTTTTAAAATTCATTTACCAATAACATAGTATACAGATTCTAGTGGTGTTCATTACTTATAGATATATACTCGTGTACTTGTATATCGTTATACAAGTAAGATAAAGTTAAAAATATAACATCATGATACATTGAAACAAAAATATGCATTTAAAAACAATCATGCCGATAATAGTTAATATATTTTATCATCGGTTAAGTTGTTTATGATTATTTTTAACTTACAGGTAATAACTGTAGTAAGGTACTATCTTTAGTACTGATACTTGTACTTAATATTATGATACTAGAGTAAGTTATAATTTATTATTTTTACAAAAGTTAATCAATTTTACTATTGAGTTTGTACAATAAAATAGCAAAAAATGTATTTTATTTTAAAAAAACTTTTAAATTTTTACCATAGCTTCTACAGGTACATTTATATGAATTTTGATTTTGAAAAAGTTAATTTAAGGTTACCCATCAGAGATAATGAAAACTAAACTTGGTTATTATTGCAAATTGTCTAAAATTAAAAATCCTATAAAACATTGAAAAATTAATTTTAAGTTTTTAAACTTGACAGGGGTATTAAATATGTACTATTACAATAAAACGTGGAAAAAAAAATTTTATGATGGCTTGTGTTTGGCTTGAAATCGTCGATTTTTAACAAAAAATGATCGTTTTTTAAATATTCATTAAAATTTCATAAATCAATAAAAGTCAAATTTTTTTTATTCATCATAAACTTTGAATTATAAATAGACTTTACCATAAAATTTAAATTGATATCATTAAAATTGGATGAGCAATTTGAATTCGAAATAAAGGCGATTATTTTACTTTCTTCCTATATGAAACCCATAAAAGTATAGAGGATCGTTAAAAAAAAATTTTTTTTTCTTTTATTTAATTTAATTATAGATTAAAGAAGAGGTCCTGAAAATTTCGAGACTTTCGGAAGTGGTCGTGCAACCACGTCTGGATGATTTGACATGGATTGACCCAATAGTTAAATTTAAAAAACTTACTAGGTAAATTATCCAGTTGATTAATAGTTGTAGTTAATGTAGAAACAGATACAAAAGCATTCAGATTTTTTTCAAATTCTTGAACCATGCTATGGGAACTAGCTATAGCACTTAAACATGCAATATAATGACAGCAAAAATATGTGTTTAAATCTGGTATTTGGTCCTATGAAAAAATTGTTATTTTTTAGATCATAAGATCAATGAGAAATTTATACAAAGTGTAACTACCATTTGATCTACAGTAACTAAAGTTGTTGTACAGCTAAAACATTGGTTGTATTTACCAATTACGCAATGAAGATATCCTAAAGAATTCAGAGGAGTTATTTTACCACGCACTACAAATATATTTTCTGATATTCTTTGTAAATAAGGTTTTTTTTTATCTAAATAATTATTCCATACTTCCTAAAAAATATAATATATTTCTAGTGATCATTTCGTAGGTTTGTAAAACTTAAAAAAATAATATTTTAAAAAGCTATTGATGTTACTCTGCCATGTATTTTTAATCTGTAATATGGTAGTAAGATCAAAAGAAAATATAGATATCAAAATAATATTGCTAATTAACAATAATCGGGAGTACAAGTTAATATTTAGTTTTCCACCCTTAGTTAAATATTTGCAAAATAAAGAACCTACAGCTTTAACTGACTAAAAGTCTAGTATATTCCAGAAAAGATTAATTTTTAAGACTTAATTAGTTATAAGCTTATTAATTTTTGGGGTTAAAGTATAGAACCAGAAAAGAGAAAGACGTAAGCTATTGAAAAATTTCCTACATCAAAAGATGTCCGAACTATGCGTAATTTCATAAGTTTTGCGAGCTATCTTGGTAGATTTGTTCGTGATTTTGCTCTTAATGTACGACCCCTATCAAATTTGTCGAATAAAAATACTAAATTGAATTGAGCGTTAACAACATAATTTTTTTGAAATATTGAAAAAATCCATTGTACAAAATTCAATTTTAAAAATGTATCTAAGGCACACGCCGGCGCTTGTAAGAACGCTTGGAAACGAAAAAATAGCAGATGACTTTAAAAAAATGTTTAATGCACTATTAAACTAATCTGGTGAAAAGACATTTATAGAAGAACGTGACTCAGTTAAGAAAACATATATCCACCATTAAGAGCAGAGGTAAAAATTGGTTTGGTAATACTCAAAAATGGAAAGGCGTCTGGAGAGGATGAAATAATTTTTGAACAGCTTAAAAAAGGAGGGCAACAATTAACAAATCAGCTTTATAATTTGATTATTAAATCATGGGAATGTGAATAAATACCATGCATGTATTGCACATCTGTTCTATGTCCGGTTTTTAAAAAGGGAGACCTCATTGATAGTAAAACTTATATAGTAATCTTGCTACTTAATTCATCGTAAAAAGTACTTATTCTACTTATTAGAATAAAACCTTACATAAAAGAAATTAATGGAGATTATCAAGGAGAATTTATGACAGAGAAGACAAATTTGGATCAGATACACATAATTAAGCAAATAATTTAAAAAAACCACGAATTTAACAAAAATATACATCTCTATTTTATAGATTTCAAGGCTGCATATTATTTGGCGAAGATAGAGTAACTATGGAGCGTACTGTGACGATTGGATGTACCTGAAAAATTGTTAAGGCTAATCTGTGCATGTGTACAGGGATCAAAGTGCAAAGAGAAGTTCGGAGTTGTCCTGTTGGAAAACTTTGAGGTTGTGATGGGACGGAGACAACGTAATGCTTTGCCACCAGCTCTATTCAATATAAAATTGGAATCAGTCATAAGAGAAACCCTAATAACAGTGAATGTAGGTAAAATTGGAACTAACAAACAATGAGTAGTGGCTGCATATGCATGTGATTTAGCTATAATGGCAGAAAATGAAGCGAACCTAAAAGAAACTACAAGAAATTTACTGATGATTGGAAGAGAATTGTGGTAAAAATAAACGAGGGTAAGACAAGTTACATGGTCATTACTAGGAATAATCATAGAGAAGGACACTTAGATATTAAAGATTATAAATTCGAAAGAGTAGATAATTTCAAATTCCTAGGAATAGGTATTAACAAAGACGCAAAAAGCCACGAAGACATAAAACTTAGATTAGCAGAGGTAAACAGATGTTATTTTGGGTTGATTCCCCTATTTAAATCGAAGATTTTATCAATGAAGACAAAAATAATTCTTTACAAAGTACTGGTGAGACTACTAGCCTTGTATACGCGTGGAGCATGGACCACAACAAAGTCTGATGAACTAAAAAGTTTGACCTTTGATCAGAAGATGTTAAGAAGAATTTGTGGACCAAAAATTAACAATAAAAAAAAAAAAGTGAAATAAGGACAAACCAGTAGATTTAAGATCTATACAGTGAAGCTAACATCAACGGAGTCCTAAAAGGTAGTAGATTAAGCTGGGCCGGATACGTGTGAAGATTGTAAGGACCAATTGGACAGGTTACGAGATAACTAACACAAAAAGCCTAGAGGTCATCCTAGACAAAGATGAAAGAACAAAGTGGCCAAAGACTTAAAATAACATCGAATAGAGAATGGTGAAGAACTGGCAAGATACAGAGACCTATAGAGACTAGTGGTTGAGCTTAAATGGTCTATAAAACACCCTAAAGAAAATATATAGTTTAAAATTATTAACTGATAAACGTGATATATGGCCACAAATTGGTTCATTAAAATGTCTGGGTATAACTATTGTTATTGTTGTTATATTTACTATAATTATAATATATTTTAAATATATTATAGTTAAAATATATACAGTATATTTATTTATTTATTAAATACAAATAATATCAATGTGTGAAATTATGTTGTTGCCCATAGCTAATAATTAGTGATGTGCAATAATTATTACTAAATAATTACCTGTTTTACATTTTGAGGGACTCTAAATGATTCTAAAACATGTTGATCAATTTTTAAAGCTATTCCAGTAGAAATACAATTCAAACACGATCGTACATGTTTACATGGTTCATTATTTATTTTGTTAATATTTGATTCAGCTTCCTTTCAAACAAAAAGATAATAAATGTAAGTTGATTATCAAAATATAATAGTTTCAATATATATTCACTATATGTAAAAATTTAGAAATATATATATATATAAAACAATATTTTTTCAAGTATTTATTTATCTATAACCCTGCATTCTTAATCAAAATTATTCACTAACATTGACTTCTAACATTACATAGATTGCATAATTATTCACAATGATGGAAGGACACTTCCAATAAAGAGTCTCCGAACTTTTATACTAGTAAAATTTACATTAATCAATATATATTTAATCATATCATATAGTTATTTGGTTATATGGTTCGTTTTAATTTCCTGACATCTTGAGAATGATCAGAAATTGAGCTGCAGTTTTGTTGATGTCTCAGACGATTTTTATGTGCCCTTGCGCACCGTTTAATTCTTTCTATGAAAGTTGGTATCATTGTGAATATGATCATAACTTTCGTATATGTTAGCATTGATAATATTAAGGAGATTTTGTATGATTTGAATATTATCAATCCAAGATTTCTAGTACAGACCCATAATTGTACACTATATTATGGTGTCCAATTATTGACAAATCATGCGACAATGATTTGATAAAAACTGAATTTGAAGTTAAAAAAAGGCGTAATCAATTAAATTAACTTAAATGATATACTTAAATTAGACGATAACAAATAATTCAAATTACTTCTTAAAAAAATTATTACGATAACTAAATAGTAATTGATACACTATTTTTTTTTTTTGTTATATTTTTCTGATCGTTATATATAATCATACATACTGTTTAATATAAATTCATATACTGTATGATATTTATTAAGATTAGTTAAATAAAAAATTTAATTTTAGATATGTTACAGACATTGACAAGTCGATTGATAAGAAAACATTAATGGTTCACTAAACAACTTTATTGAAAATTACTATTTTCATGGCAAACTTGTCTAATAACTTTCATTTTCATTATTTCAGTACACTTTAAATTATAATGTAATGAAATATTACAAAATAGTATACATTGAAACTGTCATTGACTACTAAGCGTTGGATTAAGAACATCAGTTTACAACTTTTCGTCATTGACTAATTATTTTTTTTTCACGTATTGAAACGTCATTCAGATTTTTGTGTTTCGTAAAGTTGAACTAGAAGACTAGATATAATAAGTATTATTTCAATACACGAATATTTTTATTTTAAATGATTACTATTAAATTGTTTATTTGTCACAATTTTTATTTTTTAAGTTATTACACATTGGTTAATTAAAAGTAAGATAGCAAATTGTAAATTTATAGAATTTTTAGCAACATTTTTCATTCTATAAATTAGGTTAAACTAAATGAATTTTGATTGTAAATAATGAATGATCGTAAATTAAATGTTTAAACGTATAATAAATTTATTTTTATTCTATTGCAATGCATAATCATAAGTCTAACTTGTAACCTGACACAAAAATATAAATTTACCCTATTAAATGTAAATAAATACATCAAATCTTGTTGTTGCGTACGAAACAGCTAGACCGTAGGAAGGGCATTTGTGCACCGCATTAAAATGCCGTTTTACCTTAAGCCTGCTTAAATCGCTATTATTGGAATAGGAATGGGTCACCTAGGAGATGACGGCTAACTGTACACCGAATAAGTAGTCAGGATAGACAATAATTAAATAACAAATAACCACATATATTAGAAATTCTTAAATTTAAGAGGTAGCGGGGGCCCTTAAAAACTAATAGCCGACGAAGCGACATAAATAAAATAGTTAAACTCAATTAACACAAACAATAAATATCATTAAAAAATAATATAAAACTCAGCTGAATAGATGAAATTGTTGATAGTGATGAGTGGACTGTATGAGATCTTGTTGTAATGGTGTCGAACATCTAAGTATCACAAATCAGAGTGTTGATCCAAACACGTAATGACAGATGAAAACAGATAGCGGAAAAACGACTACGGCAATGAAGTTATTTTGTGATGGACAGAACCCAATCACTGGTAGCGTGCAAGGGCACGAGAACTCTGAGCACATGGGTGCAATAAACAAATAAAATAATAACGGCGTACAATGGCCGTCAATTTATTATTCAAACGAAGGCGCTTGCTACAAAAAAAAGATAACACATAAAACAATTGACTTTCTGACTTATAACAATGATCTGTACACAGATGACAATTGATACGGAGGTCATTGATTTGCCGTGCTGGGTTGACAAGAGGGTGAGTAAAGCAAGACGATGGAGATGAGATGCCATACAATATAATACGACGATGTTTTATAACAACTGGTGTACTAGATCTTTGCTAAAGACGTTCTGTATCAAACACTTGCAATGGTAACGAACTTCGAGAACAACAGACTAAAAGTAAGCAACTACAATAAATACTACAAACAATTATCTTAAAAAACAACAATTTAAGAACGCACGAAGATACAAGATTACAAGTAGTTTCGTGAACACAAGTTTCCCTCCACTATTTATAAAGAAAACCATAATTTTAAGTTTAAATAGCATTTTTTGACAATTTTTTTTTCATTCATTTAATATTTGTAAACTTTTGTAAGATTCAGATTCTAGGTTATCTAAAATGTAATTAATAGAGGTAATAAGGTAATGTATTTACCACTTATATTATACACGTTTTATTTCCATTTACTTAATTTGTAATACATATTAATTAGCATAGAGGGAGATGCTGATGTGACATCAAGCTACTGACGTCGAACTAACAAAAGGCAGTTGTGTTTGAGTGATCGTTATAGAAATAGTTTTCGATACTATCACTTTCATCTTATTTACATTGTAAATAACTTAACTTATTTTATTCGTCTATCGCCAGTTGTCATCATAGCCAACCAACACCGTCTCACATCCACATACCTACTAATCAACTATAATAGAATTCAGGTCAGATGTACTGTACATTACATATAACTTATATTTACTAAACATCTAAAATAAAACTTTACTTTGTAGTTGACATAAAACAATAATTACTCTTTATTATATAATCTCTCTCTAGTAACTAAAGTACACAATTACCTGTCTCCATTAGGTAATTAAAACTTGTTTAAGGAGATAAGGACAATATTTAGACAGACGTCGGATTATTGGTTATTATCAAGATTCTCAAGTATTAAACAGACCTAACACTAATGATCCGTGCCGAATGGCATCTAACAAGAAAAGTAATAACCCCAAGTAGCATATGATGGGCAATTAATGTTTGGCAATTCTAAGGATGCAGGCTATGACGAAATATTTCTTGATATCAAAAACCTAAAACACAAAGATATACTTAATTTCACCAGAGAAACTCTTTGAATAAATCTAGATGCGTTCTGGTAGGACGGTCCTATATACATACATATATAGTCTTAGGTATTAAACAATGGCAACAACACTTTGATGGAAACACTTATGAGAAGAAACCGATTTAATATAATTAGGTAGGAGGTGCTCACAATGAAAAGCTATAGTAATAAACATCATACACGCATATGAAGAAATTTCCCAAAAATATTATATCATAGCAATCAAGTAATTTAATTGATCTAAAAAATATCAAATTAAAAATCTCGAAAGAAAAACTACATACATATTTAACAGAGAATTTATTGACAAAATTATAAATAATCAAGAAACTACAAACAAATTTTCAAATAGATTAAGCTGAAACACCTAACAGAAAAGCCAAATCATCTATTTTAACTAAAAGCATAATAAGAACAGATAACATAACAAAAAAACCAATTAATGAACATAATAATACAATACAAAAATATAAAGAAACAAAATAAAAAGAAAAAAAAGGTAGCACAGTGGGGTCGAGGCACAGTGTAGACGAGGCATATATGAGACAAGTATAGATAATATCTGACAGTGATTAAAATCACTATCATAAGAAACGCTTCGATGCCAATCTGTAGATAATGTTTCATTTAGAGAAATTGGTGGATTATTCCAAAAGCAAAATACTAATTATAATTATTCAATTTAGTATGAAATGCATATAGAAAGTTCTACTTTTTATATGCATTTTATATAATATTTATGAAAATCAGTGTAATCTCCTTATAATAAAATAAAAAACAAAACCAAAAATTTTAACACAAAAATAGTATATTTTTGAATACGGTAGCTATTTTTAACATGAAGACAAAGTAAAGTCCGAAATTTTTTATTTATTATTAAAGTATATTACATAAGCATTAATTTAAGATATATATAAACGTGTAAGTTGAAAAAGTTCTACTTTCTATATGCATTTTAAAGATTTGAACCCCTTTTATTAAGGGAAATGGTCCAATTTAAAAAAAAAGTATGTCGAATGAAAGTAGTATATAAATATTATTTCTTATAAAAAAATTGTATTGATCCATACATTTTTCAAAAAGTTATAACATTTTAATGTTAAAAATGTAAATTATAAAATCGAGAATTTTAACACAATAATAGCACTTGGTAGCCATTTTCACCATGAAGACAAAATAAAGTCCGAAATTTTTTTAAATAAAAAAGTACATTACATTAGCTTTAATTTACGATATAGATAAAAGTGGCAGACTTTCCGGAACATTTAAAAAATTTAAGTGGAAAAAGTTAATTTTTTGAAAATTTATGACAGTTTTAAGTAAAAAAAATTGAAAAAATTAGCGATTTTTAAATTTGTAATTTTTTTGGAGATTTCCTCCATTTACGGGAAACGTGAGAAATTTTTTCAATTTTTAAGGGTAATGTCTTCGACTAGATACGATTTGTGATCTTTTGACGTATCGTTTAAAGAAATCTGTTCGGTGAGAACTGAGAAAAAGTGGTAACAGACACAAAAAAAAAAAGGTAGCACAATGGGGTCGAGGCACAGTGTGGACGAGGCATAGATGGGACAAGTATAGATGATATCTGACAGTGATTAAAATCACTATCATAAGAAACGCTTTGATGCCAAGCTTTAGATAGTGTTTCATTTAGAGAAATTG